TCACCATGTTGGCCAGGCTGGTCTCAAACTCCTGACCTTGTGATCTGCCCACCTTGGCCTCTCAAAGTGCTGGAATTACAGGTGTAAGCCACTGCGCCCTGCCGGTCTGCCATTTTTTTGATCATGGAACACATTTTGTCATGGGTAAGATCCATGCCATGGAAGTGAGTCAGGCAGTTTTTGCCCTGGAGATCTTCAGTAATTAGCTTGAATTTTCTAAATGCAACTTTAGCATTCTGCAGATTAGCAAGACTCACTTCAAACGCACAACGCTTGAGGCTATCACAACCCCATGCAATTTTGGTTTCTTGCATCCTTGGGACTGATGTTTTTCCATTATTTCTTATGTGGAACATATAGCTGGTGTTTTCACACCATACCCATCTTACAAAATGGATCAGGTGCTCTCTCTTGGCTCCCTTTTTGCCATTTTTTGTAAAGCAATTGTTCTTGCCAGCCACCTTAGTGCTGCCTAGAGAACCAAAAGGGTGAAAGTGCAACTCTGGTGAGAATTTAGGCTTAAGGGGTGGGAGAGCACAAGGGATGCAGGTTTAATTCGAGTGGCCAGAGAGGATCTCACCAAGAAAGTAATATTTAAGTGAAACATTTTGAGCCAAGGAGCAACATAATTTGGCTTATATTTTAGTATTATCAGTCTTGCTATTGGAAATAGACTAAAAAAGGCAAAAAAATCATGAGAGACCAGAGCAATCCAAAGGAGAGATGATAGAGGTGAACTAGTTTCCTAGTTCTGCAAACGTGGTGGCTTAGGATAACACATCTTTATTCTCTTATGGTCCCGGAAGTCAGAGTCTGAAATAGGTTTTACTGGGTCCAAACCAAGATGTTGGCAAGGCCATGCTCCCTCCAGAGGATCTAGGGGAAAATTGGTTTCCTTGACTTTTCCAGCTTCTAGAGCTGCATTTGTTGCATTCATTGGCTCACGGTCCCTTCCTCCAACTTCAAGGCTCACGGTGTATCATTTCAAATCTCTTTCTGCTCCATCTTCTCATTGTCTTCTCTCTTCTGGGTCCAGTCTCCTTCTGCCTCTTGTAAGGGTACTTGTTATTGCATTTAGGGCCTGCCCAGACAACCCAGGATAATCTCAAGATTCTTAGTTTAATCATATTTGCAGAGTCTCTTTTGCCATATTCACAGGTTCCAGGGATTAGAACCTGGATATCTTTCGGGTTCATTATTCAGCTTACCAGAAGAGGCTTGGACCAATACAGAAGGGATGGACATGGTGAGAAATGAGCAGATTCTTGGATTTGTTTCGAAGGTAGAGTCCATTGGACTAATTTATAGATTGAATGTGGGATATGAGAGAAAGAGAGGAATCAAGGAAAATATCAAAGCTTTTTGTCTGAGCAACTATAAGAGAATTTCTATTTATGAAAAATCTTATAGAAAAACCATTTCTTTGAGGGGAGTGGTTGGTTTAACTGTTTACATTAGTGGGTCTAGGAGCTTATGGACATACTATGTTTGCGATGCCCTATCCAAGTGGCCATGTTGAGAAGGCAGCTGATATATCTCCTGCAGTTCAGGAGAGAAGTTAATACTGGAAATGTTAATTTGGAAGCCTTTAGTGTGCTTTTAAAGCTTTGTAATTATGAAGGGTGTGAGTGTAGATAGAAAAGAAAGAATGGCCAGGGATGGAGGCCTGGAGGAGTCCAGTGACACAAAGTCATAGAAAAGGAGGAATTAGCACAGGGGGCCAAAAAGAAGTAGCCAGCAGCCAGAGAGGTAGGAGGAAAACCAGGAGAGGGTAGTGTCTGGAGGCCTGGTGAAGGCAGGCAAGAGGGGGTTGGGGTGGGGAGGACAGCTGAGCTCCTGGAGGGAGACGGGTACTCATTGGACTGAAGGCACATCTCACCAACTCTAGCACCTAGTACCTTCCCTTTCCTAACATGCATACATGCATACACACATACACGCACGTGCACGCACACACACACACAGGCACACACACATACATACAAATACCCTCCAGCAGGAAAATTGTTTCTAAGCAGTGCAGCTTATTGAGTAAGGCCTGATTTGGGGGGCAAAGGATCCAGATTTTCTCCCAGAATCCTCCAAACAGTTGCCACAAAAACAGTGTCTGGCCAAAGGCGCAGAGAGCATCTGCAGTCTCTGGCCTGAACCCCTGCCCTGATCCCCTAAAGCTGCAGATCTTGTCTCATAGATCCTGTGTCCCTCGACCCATCTGTGATTCCCAGGGACAAGTCTGTCACTGTTTTTGGAAAAGGAAAACATCTTAAGCAGAAAGGCCTCCATCTGCTTGCCACCCACTGAACAGCCTGGCACAGTTATTGATTGGGCACTCAGATCATTAGGTGCTGAGTGGAGAGCAGCAGCTGCACTGATGTCACCCACAGGGCAATTCCCCCACGAGGACTGCTATTTTGAGCCATTATTTTCATGATTTTAACTAGAATGCTCACTTTATATAGACCCATTATTATAAACATCATATATGAAACATTCATCAAGTTTACAGAATCAATTTGAAGGCAGATCCTATATTATGCAATTCATACTAGATTATGTTGAAACATCTACATAACCATGCAGTTTAGGGATCCCCATGGATACCAGCTTGGATAGATTTTCTCTCCTCTCCTCTCCCCTTCCTCCCCTCTCCCCCCCCCCCCCTCTTTCCTTTCCCCCCCCCCCCACTTCTCCTCTCTTCTCTTTTCTATCTTTCTCTGCCAATTTCCCCAGACCTTTAATTCAGTACTTAGACCACTAGTTCAACAACTTTGTTGCATATTGATATCATCTGGGAAATTTAAAGAACTACTGCTGCCTGAGTCCCAGCCCCAGAGATTCTGGTTTAACTGATCTCAGGTGTGAGCTGGGCTTTAGAAATGTTTAAAGTCCTTCAGGTGATTCAAATGCGTAGCCAAGTTTGAGAACCAGTGTCTAAGTAGTGAGTCCCAGTGCAATATCCTAAATGCCATGGCAGAAGGAGCTGGCTGTAACTCCAACTCCCTGCCCTGCCTCTCCCTACCGTTTCTGGTTTATAATATCAGTTTACCTGGTCTGAACACCAACAATAGTTGTGCAATGCTCTACATCTTCCAGATTACATGATCCAATGGTGCCCTGATATTCTATACCCAGCTTTCTAACTTCTCTTACAACTTTCCTCCTAAGACACTCAGCCAATTTTTAATTTTAGCAACACCAGCACTCCAGCTTCAAGTCTAGGTCCAGTTGTAAGCAATAGGAGAAGCAGGGTAAAGGTGGACAGAAGTATTCGGGAGTGCACACACAAACACACACACAAAAAAACCAATAAATCAGCCTTAGAAATGGAATTCTGCTGGAGAGAAGAAATCCTCTGCAGAAATCCCCTGGAGAGAAGGGGCCACCGTGCCCCCGTGTATCTGTTTTTGTGCCACTTGTTTAGAGAATTATGGGAAAAAATCTGGGTCCCTAGCCCTCAAAGCAGGCATTGTCCAAGATCTAAACAGTAATATGCCCAGGCTACAGCCAAGTCTATTAAATGCCATAACTTTCAGGCTCTTTCAAAATAAAAAATTGGCACAAATTTCCAGAAAGCAACTTGGTGATATGTCTCAAGAATTATGACCAGTTTATATTCAATTATATCATTTCTTTTCCTAAGGAAATAATCAGAGATGTGATAAAATATTTATGTATAAAGATCTTCATTAAAGTGTTATGTATAATTGCAAAATATCAGAAGTAACTGTCCAACTTTGCACAATATAGGACCAGTTTAATATAACATAGTATAAAATATACAGATTGTTATGTTTCCAAATAATTTTTAATGTGAGAAAATGCTCAAAATACAATACTAAATGAAAAAACGTAAGTAAAACGACTAATTTTGTAGTTTCATCCAATTGTGGATATAGACACCTATTTGCAGAAAGGAAAAATACTACAGATATACACTAGGCCGTTCATAGTCGTTACCTGGACTGTGTGGTTGTAATTGACTGGTATTTTTTTTTTCTGGATTCCTAAGCTTGCATTGCATCCATGGTCAGAAAATAAAAATGTTATTTCTTTTACATGAAAACAAGGTTTTGGCTAGGTGTAATGACTCATGCCTGTAATCTCGATACTTTGGGAGGCTGAGGTGGGGAGTATCACTTGAGCCCAGGAGTTTGAGACCACCCTGGGCAACATAGCAAGATCCCCTCTCTACAAAAATACAATAAAAAAAGATTAGCCAGGCATGGGAGTATGTGCCTGTGGTCTCAGCTATTTGAAGGGGGAGGATTGCTTGAGCCCAGGAGGTCAGGGCTGCAGTGAGCCATGATTGTACCACTGCACTCCAGCCTGGGTGACAGAGTGAGACCATGACTCAAAAAAAAAAAAAAAAAAGTTTCATTTCTCATATGGAGAAATGAAAGCTTCTATCAAAGGCTGATCTCTGAAGTGACCCTAATCATCATCATCATCTCCCTACCACAGCCTGGGTGCCCAGGGATGCATTCCAAGCCCTTGTTGCTCTTGGCTGCCCTTGAGTCCCCCAGCAGTTTTTATGAGGGTGAGACAGAAAAGTGTTTGGTCCCTCTCATGACGTCCCTCTCTTGACATCCATCTGAGGGCTCAAATATGCTTGCTGAACAGAGGAGTCTCTTTCACTCCAGAGGGTGTTTACCAGGTAAGGATGTGACGTCATTCATAGGATTCTGCAGCATTGTGCACTCAATGGGAGCCTCAGGAATTGGAGAGATCTTGCCCAGACATGTAAGAATTCATTTATTCTTGACATCTAGAGGATTTATTAAGCGACTTCTGTGTGCCAGGCAATGCTTTCACTTATTCTGTTGACACTGTTAAGGGTGTTCCCTGAAGGAGCTGGCTGATGGGGCGGAGAAAAAGGCCGGTCTAGGACCGAAGCCTGGGGCTCCGTGTGGAAGAACGGGAGAGGATTCTGCCACGCTAAGTCATTGGTTTGTAGGAGTTTGGGATTGTGGTACCAAAGGGCCCTCTCTCTGTTTCTTCAGATGGAGGTGATTGTTGGCGACTTTGGGATTGTGGTGGTGCCCCGGGATGCGGCCGACACAGACCGAATCATGAATCACTCCTCAATACTCCGCAAATACAAAGTGAGTCCTCCGTCCTGCTAGTGCACCTCTGTGATGTGGCCCTTCTCTGAGAGTCCTGGCAGCTGGAGGAGTGAGAGAGCAAAAGGAGTTTAGTGGGAGGGTCTGGCAGCTGACTGTCTCTGCTCTGTCCTCAGAACAACATCATGGTGGTGAAGGATGACATCAACCATCCCATGTCTGTCGTCAGCTCAACCAAGAGCAGGTATGTTTGACCAATGGCCAGAGAGACTTTAGTCAACCCAGCTTACAAGTCTCCACATAACTTTCCTCCATCAAAGATGACCCAGAGATTCAGGCAGACATCTGCTGCCCTGGTGTTCAGCTTCGTGTTTAGACCTCATTTATTCCCAGCCACTTATTTTTATTTTTTTTTATTTATTTTGAGACAGAGTCTCATTCTTGTTGCCCAGGCTGGAGTACAGTGGCACAATCTTGGCTCACTGCAACCTCCATCTCCCGGGTTCAAGCAATTCTCCTGCATCAACATCCCCCCCGCAATAGCAGGGATTACAGGCACATACCACCACCCCTAGCTAATTTTTGTATTATTAGTAGAGATGGGGTTTCACCATGTTGGCCAGGCTGGTCTTGAACTTCTGACCTCAAGTGATCTGCCCACCTTGGTCTCCCAAAGTGCTGGGATTACAGGTGTGAGCCACTGTGCCGGCCTCAGCCATTTACTTTTAAAAGGGGAGACAGTCTGTTAGCTAGTCTTAGCTGCTTTAAGGGGAGAAGAGGGTGTTTTCAGTTGTGGACTCTTTAGTTGGAAGTGCTTATGGAATAATGTTTGATAAGGGTATAGTATAAGCTGCCAAAACAAAAAGATTCCAATATTCAGAGTTTTAAGTAAGTTAGATATTTAGTTCCCTCTTACTGAAGTCAAAGATGAAATCTATGGCCTTATCCATATGAAGCTTCCATCTCTGGGTGCAGAGCTGCTACAACAGTGGTCCTTCTCAGCCAGCGGGAAAAGGCAAGGTGAAGCCCGTGGCAAGAAGCTTTGTCTTTAAGGTGACCCAGAGTTGTGCATACCACTTCCCTTTGCATCCCACTGGCTCGAGGATGGAGCACAGCTGGGAAACAGACTTTGTAGCTTAGCAGCCACATGCCCAGATGGAACTCAGGATGCTCTATAATTAACCCAAAGAAGGAAATAATAGGTATTAGGGGCCAGTTAACAGTCTCTACCACAAACCCAAAGTGGAAATGTTGAGTGGAATGGTGAAATATACAGAATTTTACACCTAGAAGTGTAAAACTGAAAGCCACAAATGTATACGTGTCATTTAAAATTCTAGGTGTGGACAAGCCCACAGAAAGTGTCAAGAAGAGAAGGCTATAGAGAATATCGCAAACATTTTAGCATTTGATAGAAAGTTAAAGGCAATTAGAAATCACCAGCAGTGGTGGCCAAGAATCCAAGGTGAGAGAGGGTACAAAGATGGAGAACATTGCCATCTGTGTCACAGCTTTCATAGAAATCAAATGAGACCAAGACTTTAAAAGTAATTGTCTTCTTCCCTGAAAGGCAATTACAGAGACACTCATAAGGGTCGCACCCACTGTGAGGTGAGGGCAAGAGCAATGGACAATAAGGGGCGAGTTGCAGGATGTGGTTCCGAGCATGGCTGCATATTAGAGTCACCATGCAGAGTTACACAACAGTACAAATTCCTGTGTCCCACCCAGGCCCACTGAATCCGAATTTGTGGGGGATGGGCTAAGGAATGTGCTTCCGAGCCACAGGTATACACACTTTTTCAAAAAGCTTAACTATGTGAGGAGGCACTTAGGGACCTAGCTTGCAAGGTCAGTGTGTAATCACCCAAGGGGTTCACGTTGCCCACTGCCTAGACAGAGCCAATTCAAGACAGGGGAATTGCGATAGAGAAAGAGTAATTCACGCAGAGCCTGAGTCTAGAGTTTTATTATTACGAATATCAGTCTCCTCGAGCATTCAGGAAGCAGAGTTTTTAAGGATAACTTGGTGGGTCGTGGGAAGCCAGTGAGCCAGGAGTGCTGATTGGTCAGAGATGAAATCATACGAAGTCACAGCTGTCTTCTTACGCTGAGTCAGTTTCTGGGTGGGGGACTTCAAGTTCAAATGAGCCGGTTTATTGATTTGGGTGGTGCCAGCTGGTCCATCAAGTGCAGGGTCTACAAAATATCCCAAGCACTGATCTCAGGAGCAGTTTAGAGAGGGTCAGAATCTTGTAGCCTCCAGCTGCATGACTCCTAAACCATAATTGCTAATCTTATGGCCAGTGTCAGTCCTACAAAGACAATCTAGTCCCCAGCCAAGAAGTAGGTCTGCTTCGGGAAAGGGCTGTTACTGTCTTTGTTTAAACTATAAACAAGTTTCTCCCAAAGTTAGTTCAGCCTACACCCAGGAATGAACAAGGACAGCTTGGAGGTTAGAAGCAACATGGAGTCAGTTAAGTTAGATTTCTTTCACTGTCTCAGTCATAATTTTGCATAGGTAGTTTCGAGGACAGTGCATGCATTGAAGGCAGTGAGCTGGTCTCCAGGGAGATCTCACAGGCAGAGCTCAGACGCCTTTTAGAATCTAGGTATGTGGAGAAGTATATGAATTTTTACAAATAGTTCATTTAGGTCTGACACCTAGACTATTGTGTTAGGAGAGAACAGGAAGCAGCCACACCAAGGCTTGGAAAAAAAACTGTGCAGAAGCCAAAATGTGTCACTGGAGTCCTTTATACCTGTTGGTGCCTCTCCTCCATGGGCTTCTGTAGGAAGGAAAAGATGTAGTGAATCCCAAGAATCCCTGGAAGAGGATTCATTCTTTTGAGACCAGCATGAAGAGAAACCTGAAAGGATTAAATAAGGATAGTTCTAAGAGGGAAGCTTCTAACAATAAATGCTCATGTTAAAAAAAAAAAAAAAAAGACCCCCAAATAAATTACCTAGCATTAAACCTCAAGGAACTAGAAAAAGAACAAACTAAACCCAAAGGAAGGAAATAATAAAGATTAGAGAAAAACTAAATAGAGAATAGAAAAAATTAATAAAATGAAGAGTTGGTTTTTTGAAAAAAATAAAATTGACAAACTTTTATCTAGACTGAAAAAAAGAATCAAATATATAAAATCAGAAATGAAAGTGTAGACATTATAACAGATGTCTCAGAAATAAGGTGGATCATAAGGGATTATGATGGACAATTATGCAAACAGATTTGGTAACCTAGAGGACATGCATAAATTCCTTTAAAAATATAATCTGCCAAGGTTGAATCAGGAATAGCCTGAACAGACCAATAACAAATAAAGTAGTAATTTAAAAACTCCTAACAAAGAAAAAGCTCAGGACCAGATGACTTCAGAGCTGAATTCTGAAGAATAATTAATATAATACTTTTTTTTTTTTTAAACAGTCTCACTGTGTCGCCCAGGCTGGAGTGCAGTGGCATGATCTCGGCTCACTGCAACCTCCGCCTCCTGGGTTCAAGTGATTCTCCTGCCTTAGCCTCCCAAGTAGCTGAGACTATTGGCACCTGCCACCACGCCCAGCTGATTTTTGTATTTTTAGTAGAGACAGGGTTTCACTATGTTGGCCAGGCTAGTCTTGAACTCCTGACCTAGTGATCCACTCCCCCCTCAGCCTCCCAAAGTGTTGGGATTATAGGCATGAGCTGTAATCTTAACCTCTTCAAAGAAATACAGCTGGAAGGAATACCCCCCTGGCAAATTCTATGAGGCCAACATACCTTGATACCTAAGCCAGATAAAAACACCACAAGAGGCCGGGCACAGTGGCTCATGCCTGTAATCCTAGCACTTTGGCAGGCCGAGGCGGGTGGATTACTTGACGTCAGGAGTCCAAGACAAGCCTGGACAATATGGTGAAATCCCATCTCTACAAAGAATACAAAAATTATCTGGGGATGGAGGTACGTGCCTGTAATCCCAGCTACTTGAGAGGCTGAGGCAGGAGAATCACTTGAACCCAGGAGGTGGAGGTTGCAGTGAGCCGAGATCACACCACTGCACTCCAGCCTGGGCAACAGAGTGAGACTCTGTATCAAAAAAAGAAAAAAAAAAAAAGAAAAGAAAAGAAAGAAAAATGCACCAAAAGAAAAGAAAACTGTAGGCCATTATTTCTGATGAGGATTGATGCAAAAGTCCTCAATAAAATATTAGCAAATTGTCCGGGTATGGTGGCTCATGCCTGTAATCCCAGCACTTTGGGAGGCCAAGGTAGGCGGATTATGAGGTCAGGTTTCACCTGGCCAACACGGTTAAACCCTGTCTCTACTAAAAATACAAAAAATTAGCTGGGCATGGTGGTATGTGCCTGTAATTCCAGCTACTCCAGAGGCTGAAGCAGAAGAACTGCTTGAACTGGGACCTGGGAGACAGAGGCTACAGTGAGCTGAGATTGTGCCACTGCATTCCTCTAGCCTGGGCTACAGAGGAAGACTCCGTCTCAAAAATAATAATAACAATTAGCAAATTGAATTCAACAACACAACACAAAGCTTATACATCATGATCAAGTGGGATTTATCCCTGGCACACAAGGCTGGTTTAACGTGAAAATCAGCCAATGTGATACATTACGTGAATAGACTGAAAGATAAAAACCACATGACCATATCAATTGATGCAGATAAAGCATTGGACAAAGTTTAACATCCTTTCTTGATAAAGATTCTTGGCAGTTTAACTATAGAAGGAAAGTTCCTCAACACAATAAAGGCCATTAAAAAAAATTTAAAACCCATAGCTAACATTATAATCAATGGGGAGAAAATGAAAGCTTTTCCTCTAAGATCTGGTATACAGCAAGAATGCCCACTCTCTCCACTTCTATTCAACATAGTGCTGAAAGTACTATCAACAGCAATTAGACAGCTGGGCATGGTGGCTCACACCTGTAATCCTAGCACTTTGGGAGGCCAAGGTGAGCAGATCACTTGAGGTCAGGAGTTTGAGATCACCTGGCCAACATGGTGAAACCTCTTCTCTAATAATAATACAAAATTTAGCTGGGCATGGTGGCATGTGCCTGTAATCCTAGTACTCCGGAGGCCGAGACAAAAGAATCGCTTGAACCCAGAGGCCGAGGTTGCAGTGAGCCAAGATCCACCATTGCATTTTAGCCTGGGTGACAGAGTGAGACTCTGTCTGAAAAAAACTAATAAACAAACCAAAAAAACCCTTAGGGATAAATTTAACCAAGGAAGTGAAAAATCTGTACACTGAAGAGTATAAAACATGGATGAAAGAAATTGAAGATGACGCAAATAAATGAAAAGTATTTCATGTTCATAGATCAGAAAAGTTAATATTGCTAAAATGTCCATACTACCTAAGGCAATATAAAGATTTAATAAATCCCCCATTTATCAAAATCCCAATGGGGGCATTCATACTTCACAGAAATAGAAAAATCAACCCTAAAATTTGCTCAAAACTGCAAAAGACCCTGAATAGCCAAAGCAATTATGAGAAAAAAAGTTGGAGGCATCACACTTCTTCTTCATTTAAAATTATATTAAAAGTTATAGTAATCAAAATAATATGATATAGGCATAAAAACAGACACACAGAGCAGTGGAACAGAATAGGCCAAAAATAAATCAAACATACATGGTCAACTGATTTTTGACAAGGGTACCAAAAAGACACAATAAAGAGAGGCTAGTTTCTTCAATAAATGGTACTGGGAAAACTGGATTTCTACATGCAAAAGAATGAACTTGGACCATATCTGACATCAGTCACAAAACTCAGCTCAAAATGAATAAAGGACCTAAATTTAAGACCTGAAACAATAAAACTCTCAGAAGAAAACACAGGGGAAAATCTCCTTGACATTGATCTTGGCAATTATTTCTTGGATGTCACACCAAAAGCACAGGCTACAAAAGGAAGGGAAGGGAAGGAGAGAGAGGGGAGGGGAGGGAGGAAAGAAAGAGAGAGAGATAGAGGGAGGGAGGGAGACTTCAAACTAAAAAGCTTCTCTACAGCAAAGGAAACAATCAAAGTGAAAAGGCAACCTATGGATTGAGAAAAAATATTTTCAAATCATATATTAGATAGGGATTAATATCCAAGATTTATTAAAAAAAAAAACTTACACAACTCAATATCAAGAAAACATATCACTCAATTAAAAACTGGGCAAAGGGGAAGGGTGTGATGGCTCATACCTATAATCCCAGCACACTAGGAAGCTGAGGTGGAAGGATTGCTAGAGGCCAGGAGTTACAGACATAGTGAGACCCTGTTTGTACCCCTACCGCCCCTCTGCCCCTTGCCAAAAAAAAAAAATTAACCAGGCATAGTAGCACCTACCTGATGTCTTAGCTGCTTGAGAGGCTGAGGCAGGAGGATTGCTTGAGCCTAGGAGTTTGAGGCTGCAGTGAGCCATGATTGCACACTGCACTCGAGCTTCAGCAACAGAGTAAGGCTCTGTCTTTCAAAACAAAAACCGAAAAAAAACCACACACACACACCAGAGACGTGAGTAGACGTCTCTTCAGAGATGACATAAAAATTGCTAACACGTGCATGAAAAGATGCTAAACATCACTAATCACCAGGGAAATAAAATTTAAAACCGCTATGAGATTCTACCTCACACCTATTAGAATAGCTATTATCAAAAGGACAAGAGATAAAAATGTTGATGAGAGTGTGGAGAAAGGGAACCCTAGTACACTGTTAGTGGGAATGTAAATTGGTACAACCATTACAGAAAACAGTATAGAGGTTCCTATAGAGATTAAAAATGGAACTGCCATATGACCCAGCAATCCCTCTTCTGGGTATATACCCAAAGGAAATGAAATCACTACCTTGTAAAGATATCTGCATTTCCAAGTTCATTGTAGCATTATTCACAGTAGCCAAGATATGGAAACGACCTAGATGTCCATCAATGGATGAATAAAGAAAATGTAGTGTACACACAGACACACACACACAGGAATATTATTCAGCCTTAAAAAAGGAGATCCTGCCATTTGCCGCAACTTGGCTGGACCTGGAAGACATTCTGCCAAGTGATATAAACTAGACTCAGAAAGAAAAATATTGCATGATGTCACTTACATGTGGAATCTTAAATACACGGAGAACAAAACAGTGATTACCAGGGTCAAGTGTGGAGGGCAGAAAATGGGGAGATATAGGTCAAAGGATACAAAGTAGCAAAAATGTAGAACAAACAAGTTGAAAGAGCTAATGTGTGACATGAGTATGATAGCTAATAATAGTGTATTGTATTTAGCATTTTTGCAAAATTAGTAGATTATATCTATTCTCACCACAAGAAGAACAAATAGGTATCTGAGTGAGATGATGGATATATTAATATGAATTTGTTCCACTATATTAAACTATATTATATAAATAATATAGTAATACTGTTATACAAATAACATAACACTATTATATAAATAATATAGTATAATATATAAATTATAAAAAATATAAGTATATAACACATAATATACTATATTATACGATGATAATATACATGTATCTTACAACATCAGATTGCATGACTTAAACATACACAGTACAATTTATTTGACAAAAAAGAATAGTAAATGCATTAGATGCCCGCTCTGTGTCTGGTGCTCTTCTAAGTGCTTTGCATAATGACTCATTTAATCCTTTGAATAACGAGAGTGGCCCAGATATTACCCTCATTTTACAGGAAAAAAGCTGAAGAACAGAGGGCCTTAAATAACTTGCCCAAGGCCTGTCACCTAGGAAGTGGCAGAACCACGACAAATGGCATCACCAAAGCAGGGAAGGAGTTGTGGAGGCAAGAGGGCTTTTCCTAATACAGAACCATTTACTAAACCTGAGCAAAGGCTAGAAATGAGGGGTTGGGGAGACAGGGGTCAGGCCAGTTCTCCTGGCTTGCTTTGGGTGTGGATGTACATCTGATTGACGTCTCTTCTTGTGCAGGCTGGCCCTGCAGCATGGGGACGGCCATGTTGTGGATTACCTGTCCCAGCCGGTCATCGACTACATCCTCAAAAGCCAGCTGTACATCAATGCCTCCGGCTAGCAGCTACACAGCGCTTGGCTCCACGTTCCCCTCGTCCTCCACCAACACAGCGGCCCCTCCATTTCTGTCAGCCCCCCGTTTCTCTCCTGCCTCTCTGTTTCTCCATCTCCTCGTCTTGACTGTTTTCCCTACTTGCTGACTTAACCCCCCATAGTGTGGGGACCTGCAGAGAACCATGGCATTCCCTATTCCACAGTCATCTTTGGACAGACTTTCCTCTAGTCTCCGGGTTGGGGGTGGGTGAGGAAATGGGGTGGGAGTCGGGGGAAGTGCAGTCCTTGGAGATGTACTGGTGTCCGTCTCCCAGCATGCTCTAGGGAGGCGGCTCTGGTGCCCATCCTCCCAGCATGCTCTGGGGAGGCGGCTCTGGTGCCCATCCTCCCAGCATGCTCTGGGGAGGCAGCTCTGGCTCTCGCCTTCCCAGCATGCCCTTTACTACAAAGGGCTATTTTTCTTTTCTTTCTTTTATTTATTTTTCTTTGTTCACTCCTTGTAGAACTCAGATGAGATCAGTCCATGGTTCTTTATGTTTGTAGTCTTGATGTGCTCCTGTGGTATTACTTCCCCTCTGATAGGACACTGTAGCCAGCCTCAGCACTCAGTGAGTGCATCAGGGCCACACCCAGTAGAGAAGGCCAAGCAACCTCCACTTCTCCAGCACCACACACACACACACACACACACACGCACACACACACACAGCAGTAGCAGCAGCAGCAGCAACTTTTGATCAGGATTGAGATTTTCAGGTTCTGAAACCTGGGAGGCAAATCTGGGTTTTCTCAGAAAAATTTGAATCTATTTCCTTAGTTTCAAAGGACCATTTCCCTATGCTCTGAGCTATGATCACACACAGCCAGTCCATCCTCATTTCCTGGTGGCATCTGTTCGTTTACTTTGTGAGCTGTAGCTGATGGCACAGTGCAAGTTCCCTACCAGCCAGGGATTTCCAAGGGACAGCTGGAGGCCATGCTTAAACACATTCCTGCATCTGAGAAGAATCACATAGGCAGGACCTGATCCAGATCACAGTCGTGTCTTTAATAAAAATATTAGGAGTCCACTCAGCCCTGGAGGTCTTTGCTAACTGGAATTATTTATTATCTGTTGGGCTGGGAAAAGTCTCTTTCATCTTGTAAGTCCCGGATGACCTAAGAGAAAGCAATTTGTTGCCCTGATGATAACTGATGATTTTCACCCTCTCCAGCTGAGGTAACTCCGACAGTGCCTGGGGTCAGCTCCTTCTTGAGAAGCAGTGCCTTAGCCTTGTTTCTGTGGTTGGTTCTAGCCCCTGCAGAGCCCAGAAGCTGCAGGAACTGTCTGAGAAAATCTAACAGAGGAGTGCGTTCCCAGAAGGGAGATCTGGGAGGGGTCAGGAGCCACTAAGTTGTTTCACTCCTTTTTCCCCGAATTTTCTACCTTCCTTTCTGCTCCCGCAGACAGTTTCGCCAGGTTGTTAGGGTCTCACGCATGTCCTGAGGGCCATAAGGAAATTGCTCTCTTGAGCTTTGTGTCTCTCATCCAGTCTCTGGCTCTTGGGTTTCTGGCCTTTGAGCAATAGTCCTTGAGTGCTAGGATTCTCTTATCAAAATCGAGTACCAGCTATGGCCAGGAGGGGCCAGGTAAGACTTGAAAGCAAAGACAATAATCTTTACCACACATTTCACATCTGCAACATCCTTCAATTGCAGGAAAAGGAACTTGATTTAACAGAAGAACATGATAGAGCAGCATCCAAAGGGTCTGTTATTCCTCTTGGATTTTTTGAAATAATCTTCAGAGGAAGGAAGGAAAATCCTATTTTGGGGTCTCAGTGTTTGACTAGGGATCATGAAATAGTAAACTGAAAAAAACTTGAGAGTTCAGTTGATCCGACACTTTCCTTTAAAGGGTGAGGGAGCAGAGGCCCATGGGATTAAATGGCTGGTCCAGGTCAGCCAGCAGGTATAGGGCCTGACAAGAGGATACTGTTTCCCTGACACCTAGGCCGTCATAACACACTCTCCATTTCCTCACGTTGCTGACCAGGTGCCCATGTGATTTCTACACTTCCCAAGCCTTATCCTGGGATCTTTACCTTAAATTATGTCTGTCCCAGGTGCTCCCCACACACAGCTAGTAATGCCAGTCCCAGGGGAGGGTGTGACGGTAAGGAAGGCCACTGCTAGGTTTCCGTTAGAAATAAAGAGATCTCAACAGCTTAAAGGAAATCCCAGAAACTGATTCTGTGAATCCAAGAAAGAATTGCTTTGTGGAGGTGAAGGAAGACCCAGAGATTGCTCAGGATGATGCTATTGCTGGAGAAAGGAAGATGGAAGAGTCTTTGTCCAGGCAGAACAGTCGTAAGCCAGGAAATGAAACAAAGGAAAACAGGAGCCTGAATTTCCTGGGGAAACGTGGCTTGTTCAAGGACCTGGAGTTATGGATGGAATTTATGAGGACCCACATGAGCAGACCTGAGGAAGGCTTATTTCTTTGGTCCACTCTGTTACTAAGCTCTTGTCAATCTGCATTTGGCCTACACTCTGCACTCTTAGTGTGCGGCCGGAAGGCATGTGCGAGTGGAGACGGAAGGTGAGATGAATCAAGACAAAGAACAGGTGCCATAGACGTAGATTTCTAGGAATGAAGCTTTGTGGATGACAAGCGCTGCACTAAAAACAGGTTTCCTATTTAATATAAAAAGAAAGTGAATCTTTTTTTTGGGTAGAATCATCCATTCCCCACTCCACCCTACTCTTCATTTGCTGGGAAAAGGTCAGAGTACAACTGAATCCAGAACAGGATGCTATGACCATGACCCAGCCACAGCCAAAACCAGAAAGATGATTCAGAGTCTGAAGTGGTGCCTCACGTGCCAACAGGATAACCTCTGGGCCCTGACTTCGCCTCTGGGGTCCTGCTCCTTCCTGTAAAGCCCAATCCAAGACTAGCATGGCTCAGAGGTTGTGTGAAAGGCATGAACTGCAACAATCATGTCCAGAGGGGTCTGGAGCTTTGTTTCCTGCCCACCAGCAAAAAGTGTCCCTCCCATGTTTCTGAAAGTGGCTGATGTAAGAACAGGCAGGAGGAAAACCCTTTTTGTCAATGACTGTCCTTAAGGAATGGTCCTCTGGGAGGGCTGTGCTGCTAGTGGGTACCTCAGTCACACACCCCCAACCCCAGGTAGCCTCTAGAGCCTTCTTGCTTTCATTTTCCTTGAATGTACATAGGAACAGCGGGGAAAAGTCTCTTACTGAAGTGCCTGTAACCCAAAGCTAGAGCTTCTAGAGAAGCCGTTCTTCCTGTCTCAGCTTGGCCAGCCTTTCAACAGTGTTCTCTAGTTTCAAGCTCCAGCTTCTCAGAAAGAATTAAAGAACTTGCTGTTCAAATTAAGTAGAAAGTGAGACTCAATAGCTGAAGTACAGCAAAAGGGAGAGAATTACAGGGAGAAACAACTTGTACTTTAGCAGCCCAAACCTACTCTCCCCAAACTCACACACACACACACACACACACACACACACACACACACACACACACTTTTAGGGGACTAAGAGAGAGAAGCATGTTATTACATTTTACTCATCCAAACAGTAATGCAAAAATAAAAACGATAGAATATGAAAAGCTCAGGATCTCTCCCAAGGCTACCTACTGCAGGAGGGCCAACAGGTGAGATGGGAAGAATGGAAACAGGGACCGATTTTGTAGCTCATACAATTAGGACACCTTAGGAATAGCACTGTAGTAATGGCGATGAATATGCTCTGCCAAATTCATCCAGTCTTCACCTTCTTATAGCTGCCCTGTACACTCGCCTCTTCATGTGGTCTCTTTGTAGCGTGAGTTTGGAGTGTCCTATTAGCCTGTTCTGGTTAGGAATGAGTTAACGGCTCTTTCCTGCCATCTTAGTCTAGTCCTGGGGCTGAGGATTCAGCTGGATCCACATGGTCTTGAGGGTTGGCATGGGGAGGGGGAAGCTTTTTTTGAATCACTTTTTGAACACATAATCTGCCATTTTAAGAGTAAGATTTGCTTTATGGAAATCAATTCATTAATAAAAAATGATATTCAAGTTGCAATACCATTTCACAGTGAAATATTTTGAGTAAAATTTTGTTGCTAGAATAGTCATGGGCAAGAGTTTTATGCAAAATGTTTCAATTATGTTAATAAATAAGACAATGCTACTAGACTCTTGTGTCTTGGTCTAGAACCTTCTCTGTGATTTGCAGCATTAATCACTTTTTCTTCATAATCTTACTTGACAGGAGACAACAGTTGTAAAAATGTACTTAGAACAAGCGGTTTCCAGCCTAGTTCAGCTCATGCCACATGTGTAATATTAAAGTATGTATAGCCACACCCAAGGATGATAAAGGAAAGAATAATTAGTAATTTTGTAAATTATGTCTCCGTTTTCTTCGTTTTAAAAAAATTAAATCTCAGATCTTGACGAATTTGCATAGTCCAGTGTTGGTTAACTTTGGCTCCTTAATGAAATTAGTACTTTATGAAACAAAATTGTATTTGTGAAAATTAAAAACTTGAACAACTTTTTAGCATGAAAAGATCTTAACTGAAACAGAGCTTGTTAAACTCGCAATTTTCTTTGGCAATGCAAACAAGCAAAAGTGAATAATTTGTTAACTGTTCAATCCTGCTGTCATTATTAGTTCTTATTTCACCTTCAGTTATATCACACAACATGTATTGGGTTAGGTGTGAATGGTGATTGCCATTAACTAATTATCAGATATGATTCAGAAGGTGAGGCACTAATTCCCTGTTAGGCCAGCTCATTGAAGGATTAGCTGTTTGTCAGATTCATTTTTTTAAATGAATCATTCAGTTCTTGGGGTTCTTAGTAGTTTTTTCATATATATATATATATTTGCTTAAAATTGAGATGTGGCAGCTTTGTGTGCATCCATGTGGGTTTCATGGCACATCATCATGATACTTGATATGCTTGTAAATGATCACTTGTGTTTACATTTGCTATTTTGTTCACAAAGCTGAACACTGTTTTTCTTCCCTTGTCCTGAGAGTACATAATGATGAGAGCTCATTTATTTGTTTTTTGTTTGCTGGTTGGTCGGTGTTTTGTTTTTTTTTTTGAGACAGAGTTTCGCTCTTGTTGCCCAGAGTGCAGTGCAATGGTGCAATCTCAGCTCTCTGCAACCTCTGCCTCCTGGGTTTGAGTGATTCTTCTGCCTCAGCCTCCAGAGTAGCTGGAATTACAAGTGCCTGCCACCACGCCCAGCTAATTTTTGTATTTTTAGTAGAGAAGGGGTTTCATCATCTTGGCCAGGCTGGTCTCAAGCTCTTGACTTCAGGTGATCCGCCTGCCTCGGCCTCCCAAAGTGCTGGGATTACAGGCATTGGGCCACAGCGCCCAGCCGAGAGCTCATTTAAAACAAAATATAAACACTGGTTTAATCTGCTAACTTTAAAATATAAATACTAAATATGAATTAACATATGTGCACATACACATTTCTTCCCTTATGACCTATTTATAAGCTCTAGATCTTTGGATTTCCTAGAAAGTTCCATGTAGCCAATAGTATAAAGAAAGGACAGAAAAATTCTAATCTATGTCCTCCAGATGGGAAAACTGAACCACAGCAAGAATCTATAACATTTCCATCACCATGCAAAACATTAAAAGAAGACATGATAAACATATTCCTGGCCCTTGAGACTTGTTCAAAACATTGAATATTATTACTGAGTGTCTTCTTATCCTTTTCTCCAGCCTGCTAAGAGGCTGAGAGAAGTGCTGGAGAGTACTGACAAGAAACCACATCATCAGAGAAGACCGGAAATACATCTGCTAAGAAGTTATAGTCTATGGGTAGTTTCCTTTCCACCCCTTTCTCCAAACAGAATTCCCTAAGAGTTAAAGCAGATGATGATGTATGTAATAGCCTACCAACAGCATGATTAATCATAAACACTCAGAAGAGAAGTACAAGAAAGCTTTGCTATGAACTACTAATATTGCAAAGAAATCAGAAGGAAAGCTTCCTTATCTTGGCTGGGTCAGCTCAAGGACTGACAACATGAGGCTAGGTCCTGGGGAAGCCACATCCCCTTCTCTCTTCTTAGAGATAACTTTTCAGGTCCTCAGAAAAGATAATTATTTCTACACCAAGGGGAGTCTTATAAGTCATTCTTATATTTCCATCAGTACTCAGGTATCATCTCCCATTTGTCAGGGAAGACAGTCTTATGACTTTTTAAACAATCTATCCCATTGCCAAGACAGGATTACAAATTCATTTTCATGGAAGGTAAAGCAAAGTGATCAGACCCATCAGAATTTGGGGGTCAATGTGGACAGAAGCAGAATTCTTTCCTAAGCCACTTGGGTAGAGGGCCAATTCAAGATCTTAATTTAGTACATATTAACTTCTTGAAAAGCATGACATATGCACTGCAAACTATTAGTTTTACCTTCATTTTATAACTGATGAAAAAGATAAGAATGTTAATTATACCCCCCCACCACCACCCAGCTAGAGTTGTTCTAGAAATAAATTTTTATGCTTAGGAGACAGCATCAGTTAAACCTCATAAAATCCCATTGACAGCATCATCAATCTCTATGGTTGGAAAGGGCAAAGTAAGATGCTCAGAAGAAGGAAATGAAGATGCTAACCCTAGGACCTATTGCCGTTTCTGTGGTGTTTTCCTTTCTATTGCTTTGGCACTTCCATCATAGGCTTAGAGTTAGTAAATCAGAAACTGACCCCAGGCATCTGACAATTGTTCTTTATTTAAAATTATGTTCAGGAAAATCCAAGGAAATACAGAAGTAAGGCAGCACCATAGTCTTCCCAGCTGAGGTGGAAGTACCTTTGGTTTCTCCAGCAATTCCCATTGGTGTTATCATGACTCAATAGTCTGTTGCAATCAGTTTTAGTTCCAGAGTGACAGCTGGAATGCAAAGAAATGTGCACAACCCAGAGCTCTCTCAGCTTTGCCAAAACTCAAGTGCCCCCGTGGGAGGGTCTTGCAACATATGTTCTGTTGAGCAAAGAGGTTGCAAACCAAGCCGTTATTGCAATAAACACTACTGTAACAAACAAGGTTTGTAAGTTTAAATTTATTTTTTAAAAATGCTTGTCTTCCTCACTAGACAATCAACTCTATGAGGGCAGAGACTATGTCAACACTGTACCACCCGCCCCTGGCACACAGTAGTTACTCAATAAATATATGTTGGAAGGATGGATGGAGGATGGAAGGATGGATGGAAGGATGAATGGAGGGATGGATGGAACCCAGCTGAAGTGTGAGTAGGAACGTCCTCTGTTATGGATAGAGGGAAGAGAGGGGAGACTGAGAAGATACAATAAAATACATTGATGCATATCATTTTTGGTGTTTGAAAAGTAGGGCTGAATTAGGACTAATAAATCTAGAGAATTTTACTTCTTATAATGCACAAGCCACAGTTTTCTATCACTTTGAAACTGAAAAAGCAAATGCCTTCCCAATATTTGCTTTGCTTTTGAAATGCTTTAATAAAAATGCAATCTCTAAGTTGCCATGGCATCATTTAGAGAAAGGATATCATGCCCAGGTCCAGAACTTGAAGGTGGCAGGAACCAGTAGGCAACATTGCTCGAAATGGGCCTGTCTTACAGGTCCTCACTCCAACACTGCTCACTTCTTCCAGCTTGAAAGTGGAGAACATGTTCACATGCTGGGTGGTAAGCAGGAGGAACTCTGATCAGCAGGAAGCTTGCAGTGGACAATATGAGGCAATAGTATTTGACTGGCCACAGCGTGACTGGGTTGCACACTGTTCTGACATTAGGAAGAATTTTATGCCTGGGCAAAGTCAAAGTTTTTTCCTTTAGTCACTTTACTTCAAGAATAAATTGACTATAATCCAACGGTACTTGTCCAAATTCCAGGACTCCATTTATAACCATTCTGAGGCAAACATCTGCCTGTGCAGTTTGTCCTTCCATCCAGTCCATTCTTTGGGGTCCAGATCCTTGGTCAGTCTCACACGCAGTGTTATCTGCCTCACTGCCCAGCAACAGGAAGTAAGGAGTATCATACTGGTGCAATAAGACAGCCACCTGGCCACAGGTTCAGGGATGGGGTCAGGTCAGTTGACCTGAGCATATCCATTAAACATGTTCAAATGTCCCCACCCACCCACATGACATGGCTTCTGAGCCCTAAGATCTGTATCCCAAGAGCCTCAGTTGAGAAATCTCTATGGCAGCTTCACTGTTGCTCAAGAGCCTGGGTATTGTAGCAGCCTGGGGGCAGGTTGTCCCTAATGTTCTCCAAGTTCTTCACATCAGCCAGAATCCCATCTATGCTTGTCTCCAGCAAATGGAGGTGGCCCCTCTGCCGGCGTGCCCTCTCTTCCAGCTCTGACATCATGGGCCGCAGTTGGCTGTTGATCTGGGTCTTGGCTCGGGAAAGCTTCTGCTCCAATAAGAACAGCCCCTCTTCATCTACACTGGCAGGCTGGTCTATTTCAGGGAATGAGACAGGAATTAACATAAAAAAGCTGTGAACACGTGTCCCCTTCTATACTCATAACTAATCCCTGTTTCCACTTGCCTAAAGCAAATAGTATGCCATGAATTTTAAAAGCTCATTTTGAATTAGAAATCATCGAGAAAGAGTTCTGAAAGAGCTAGCCTAGTTACTGAGCTATGAACAACCCTGTTCAAGACTCTGAGGTCTCTAATTTAGTAACGTGATGTCTGGAGTTTTCCTTTTGTGTTAGGGTCAATAGTTTATGCTCTGAAAAAAAAAAATAAGAAGACTGAAGGTCACTGGGGACTGAACACTATCCAAGGTGTTTGCCTAACATAGGTCACTGCTAGGATTAGAATCAACTCCAAATTATGCTTTCCGAACCACCCTTAAGAAACATCTCACTGTTTTCTATTAGAAGACTTTTAGAAACTGGCTGAGTTTCAGGGTTGTAGAGGCCAAGGTATGCTTTGCCATTTGGGGAATGGATTCCAGCTGCTAAAAATTAATGTCAGACATCATTCCAGCCTGAAACAGCAATAATCTAGCTATATATTATTTTATTTCCAATATAAAATGTAATCACATTTGTGCAGGTGTAATTTACCCACAGACGATCTAAAATTAATGTCAGTATGAAGGGCACCTGGCCAGACCCATTTAGTTCAAATAGGTTTG